GATTTTGGCCCCATTCTTTACCAGGCATACAATCTTGGTTGACAATTTCTCTAAGCATTTGGAAAATATTATTCCCTGTCTTCTGGCTGTCACTGTTACACTCAGGAAATTAGCTAACAGCCTAATTATCTATGAAAGATGGCATCTTTTATTTTTTCTCTGATAGCCTTTAAGACCCCTCTCTCCTTTGCTATTATGTAGTTTCTTTAAAAGATGCCTAGGGCCAGGTGCGGTGGCTCACACCAGTAATCCTAACACTCTGGGAGGCCAATGCAGGCGGATAGCTCGAGATCAGGAGTTCAAGACCAGCCCCAGTCTCTACTAAAAATAGAAATAAATTAATTGGCCAACAAAAATATATATGAAAAAATTAGCTGGGCATGGTGGCACCTGCCTGTAGTCCCAGCTACTCAGCAAAGCTGAGGCAGAGGAATCCCTTAAGACCAGGAGTTTGAGGTTGCTGTGAGCTAGGCTGACGCCATGGCACTCTAGCCAGGGCAACAGACTGAGACTCAAAAAAAAAAAAAGATGCCTCGGTGTGAATTTCTTATTTTCTTTTTACTCTATTTGGGATTCTTTAGCTTTCTGAATTTGTAGATTGGTATTTTTCATCAGTTCTTTGTCATTATCTCTTCAAATATTGCCTTCGCCACATTCTTTTCCATGCTTTTCTCCTCCAGAATTCTGAGTAGACTTGACATTCTTACTCTATCCTCCATGTCTCTTAATTTTTATTACTTTCCATTTCCTTGTCTCTATATTGCAGTTTGAATATTTTAGAAATTAGAGCATAAAGCTTTAAAATGTATTAATTTAAAAAATAATAATAATTGGGCCGGGTGTGGTTGTTCACGCCTATAATCCTAGCACTCTGGGAGGCCAAGGCGGGAGGATCACTTGAGCTAAGGAGTTCGAGACTAGCCTGAGCAAGAGTGAGACTCACCTTTACTAAAAGTAGAAAAATTAGTCGTGTGCTGTGGTTCACACCTGTAGTCCTAGCTACTTGGGAGGCTGAGGCAAGAGGACTGCTTGAGCCCAGGAGTCTGAGGTTGCATTGAGCTTTGATGTCGCCACTGCATCCTATACAGGGTAACAAAGTGAGACTATCTCCCCCCCCCAAAAAAAAAAAAATCACTTACTGAATAATATCTCCAGGCCAGGATCTATTCTAAACAATGGGAACTAAGTCTGCTACCATCTCCCAAAATTTTGTCAATATTTTTCTCCAGGAGAAAGTAACTGGAATAACTAATTTTTTTTTTAAATTCCCAAACACAGAGGTTCTTTAAAAAAGCCAGCATTAGTGATAATTGCTATTTTCATTGCTTAGCAAAAAAAATCCACCAGTGAAGCCCTAAAAGTCTTTATTATCGACTGATTTTAAAAATAAATAAATGTTGGTTTGTAAAAATAACTTTAACTTATTTCCTACCTGAAATTAATAATTTTCCCACTTCCTCCTCTACGGAAGATCTATATGGCTAGTGCAAATCCACCAGCACTTTAAGCACCTCATTCTGAATTTAGCAAAGGACCAAAATACCCTGCATTACTCATAAACATCTGATGCTAATTCACTGGGTTTCAAATCTATAGAGCACAAGTTGTGATAAACCATTAGCACTTTTTGACTTAAAGTCAAAAAAAGGAAAAGAAAATCAGTTTCTTGGAGTCATTCAGCTGAATTTTATTAAAGTGCTCTTTGTGTCTGCCCTTGTAAAATAGAAGGAAAAAATGTAGGTCAAAATCAATAGCAATAGGTAAAAAGTATACATATTTTTTAAAAGGAGATGGGATTAAGTTGCTCCTAAAATTCATATGCAAAAATGCTAAGAAATGCAAAATGAAGAAAAATAAGGAAGAAGCTCACTCTATGAAATGGCAAAAATACAGTAATTTTAAAGCTATGGTAATTAAAACAGTGGTATTGATACACATATACACAAACAGAATTATGAAACAGAATAGAGCCCATGCTCAGACCCCTACATATAAGGGAACTAGATATAATACAGAGATAGCATTACAAATCAGTGCGGGAAAAGGATGAACTCAATAAATGATAGTCGGACAACTGGCTGTACATATGGAAAAGATAAAATTAACTTCATAATTCACAACAAACACAAAAATAAATTTCAGATGAATTAATCACCAAACTGTGCAAAGCAAAATTTTAAACCTTTTAGAAGAAAATCTTTATGACTTCAGGGTAGGTAAAGATTTCTTGAAAAACACATAAAAGCACAAATCATAAAGGTAAAATATGGGGAATTATAACTATAATAAAATTTAAATCTAAAACTCTATAAATAACATGAAAAGATCATCACCATCTTGGAAAAGCTATCTGCAACTAACAAAAGATTAGAATCCATGGCATACCCTATCACCTCAAAAACAAAAAACAAACAAACTCTACATGGCCGGGGCAGTGGCTCATGCCATAGGGAAAGCCGAGGCAGGCAACTGAGCTCAGTAGTTCAAGACCAGCCTGAACAAAGTGAGACCCCGTTTCTACCAAAAAAATAGACAGAAATTAGCTGGACAACTAAAAATATATATAGAAAAAATCAGCCGGACATGGTGGCACATGTCTGTAGTCCCAGCTACTCAGGAGACTGAGGCAGTAGGATTGCTTAAGCCCAGGAGTTTGAGGTTGCTGTGAGCTAGGCTGACGCCACAGCACTCTAGTCTGGGCAACAGAGTGAAACTCTGTTTCTATAAATCAATAAGAAAAATACAAACAGCCCCACAGAAAAAAATGGATAAAGGATATACAGAGGTAATTCACAGAAGAGGAAATTCCAATGACCAATACGAAAAATGCTCAATCTCACTAGTAATCAGGATAAATCCAAAATTAAACTATGAGACAATTTTACACCTATTATATTGTAAAGGTTAAATATGTTGCAGACGGTGAGTAATGGGCACTAAGATACTGCTAGTGAGACTAAACTGGTATAGTTTGGTATAAATAGGCAAAGACAACTATAACGTCACCCAGCAATTCTATCTATAAATATATATCCTAAAGAAACTCTTGCATATGTATGCAAGGAGACACATACGGTTGGGCATGTGTCACTAGACAACTTTGTTATTGCACAAACATCACAGACTGTATTAGGTCATTAAATATGAAATGTCCAATTTTGAACCAAAAGTTTAGTTTATTATATGTCAAACAAGAAGCAGTACAATTAATTAAAGTATGTGTCTAAACTATCGACACACTTGTCATCTTAATGGTAGCTTGTTTATGACAGCAGCAAAGAAGCCTGGAGAACTTGGCGATGAAATCACAAAAGGTATTTTTCACAGCTTGTTGAGAATTTAATATTTTTTCTTGTAAGAAGTAGTCCAAAGTCTGGCAGAAGTGGTAGTCAGTTGGTGTAAGGTCTGGTGAATATGGTAGGTGACAGAGAGTTTCTAAGGCTAGCCTCTGTAGTTTGAGCAGCGTTGTTTGTGCAACATGTGGTTGAGTGTTGTCTTGTAAGAGGATTGGCCTGTCCAATCTTGGCTGCTTAATCACAAACATCCTCAACATTTTGTCCAACTGGTTGTACAAGACATCCACTGTAATTGATAGACTAGGTTTTATGAAGCTGTAGTGGATAATACCAGTGGTGGACCACCAAACAGACACCATTAGCTTTTTTTGATAAATATTTTGTTTTGGACTGTGTTTCAGCACTTTATCCAGTCATTGTGCTGAACACTTGTGATTATCAAAAACATCTACTTTTTATTACATGTAACAATACTGGTGTAGAAATGGTTTGCCTTCATGTCATGACAGCAAAGAAAAGCAAGCTTCAAGATGATTTTTCTTTTGACATTTGTTTAATTTATGTAGTACCCATCTATCCAGCGTCTTTACCTTGTCTATATGTTTTAAAGGGTCTAATATTGTTAGAATAGTAACATCAAACCTTGTTAATTTATGAATAGGTTTGAGATGAATTCACTTCCACTACAATTTTTAGTCTATCATTATCCACCTTGGTCTCAAGTCATCCATGTGGCTCATTTGTAACATTAAAATTACCAGAATGGAACTTCTTAAAGTACTGTGTGTTCATTAGCCACATCCTTTCCAACATTGTGTTAATATTTTGAGCTGTCTGTGTTGTACTGGTTTTACGACAGAACTCATATTTGAAAATAATACAAATATTTATCTTTGGTTGTGCAAAAATTGTTTTTAAAAACTTTGAAAGATAACCACAAGTCAAAATACGCGTATGAGAGAATGCGGATGTACCTTCATATTAAAAATAAAACAAATGTCAAAGTGAAATGGAACAGATATTAGCTGTCAAACTTAGTACTTAAGGAAATCAGACATTTCATACTTAATAACCTAATACACAAATCTACATATTACAGCCTACTACACACTTGGGTGTAGCCTATTGTTCCTAGGCTATAAATCTATACAGCATATTAGTATACTGAATACTATCGGTGATGGCAACACAATGGTATCTGCGTATCTAAACATACCTAAACACAAAAAAGGTACGGTAAAAAATATGACATTATACTCTTAATGGGACAATCATCATATTTGTAGTCCGTTGTTAACCAAAATGTCATTATGCAGTCCATGACTGTACAAGAATGTGCATTCCAGAAAAAAATAAAATGGAAAGCTGCCTAGGCCAGGCACAGTAGCTCACACCCGTAATCCTAGCACTTTGGGAGGCTGAGGCGGGAGGATCAATAGAGGTCAGGAGTTCAAGACCAGCCTGAGCAAGGGCAAGACCCCATCTTTACCAAAAATAGAAAAAATTAGCAGACGTCATGACATGTGCCTATAGTCCCAGCTACTTGGGAGGCTGAGGCAGGAAGATTGCTTGAGCCCAGGAGTTTGAGGTTGCTGTGAACTAGGCTGACGCCATGGCACTCTGGCACTGATGATAGAGCGAGACTCTGTCTTAAAAAAAAAAAAAAAAAGAATCAAGAAGACCTTCAACAAATAGTGGGCATGCCTGCTCTGACCTCAAAAAATGAATTGTAGGCGGCTCGCGGGCCTTGGGCTTCCCCGGAAGCATGAGCCCTCTCGCCCGCAGCCGCCGACGGACGGTGTGCGCCGGGCCCCGGGTGCGCAGCCTCAGGATCCCCAGCGCCCGCAGCTCGGGCGCTCGCGGCAGGCGATCTCTGGGTGACCACGTCTGCGAGGGACTTTGCTATCCGTCTGCCAGGACCTGGGGAGAAAGAACCGCCAGCTCCCTATCCCTTCCCCCTCTGCCAGCATTTCGGGCACCCTGCAGGGACTCATTTTGGGGTTCCCACTGACTTCCAGGAAGGACGGGAGTCCTTCTGTGACCCGAGCTCGGGCCGCCACCTGTCTTTGCCGCAGTGACCCTTCTCCCATGACCCTGCGGTGCCTTGAGTCCTCCGGGAATGGCGCGGAAGGCACGCGGAGCCAGTGGGGGACCGCGGGGTCAGCAGAGGAGCCCTCCCTGGAGGCGGCGCGTCTGGCGAAGGCCTTGCGGGAGCTCGGGCAAACAGGATGGTACTGGGGAAGTATGACTGTTAATGAAGCCAAAGAGAAATTAAAAGAGGCACCAGAAGGAACTTTCTTGATTAGAGATAGCTCGCACTCAGACTACCTACTAACAATATCTGTTAAAACATCAGCCGGACCAACTAATCTGCGGATTGAATATCAAGATGGGAAATTCAGATTGGACTCTATCATATGTGTCAAGTCCAAGCTTAAACAATTTGACAGTGTGGTTCATCTGATCGACTACTATGTTCAGATGTGCAAGGATAAGCGGACCGGCCCAGAAGCCCCCCGGAATGGCACTGTTCACCTTTACCTGACCAAACCGCTCTACACGTCAGCGCCACCTCTGCAGCATCTCTGTAGACTCACCATTAACAAATGCACCGGCACCATCTGGGGATTGCCTTTACCAACAAGACTAAAAGATTACTTGGAAGAATATAAATTCCAGGTATAAGCGTTTCTCTTTTTCTAAACATGCCTCACGTAGAGTATCTCCGAATGCAACTATATGTAAAAGAGAACCAAAACTTGAGTGGACTGCTCTGGATGACTACACGGAATCCTTTCTAAGAACAGCTGAAGTCAATCTAATTTAAATGTGTCCGAGGTAGCTAGGTATTTAAAGCCCCCCCTTCCCCTCCCCAGATATTTTCACCAGAGGGATGTTTCCCTTCCTAAGGTGGACTGAGACCAGTTGTTGTTTTAAATGAAAAATAAAATGTCCCAAGTCAAGGCTGAAGGAGCATTTATCAGAATGCCTTGCCTTCCTGAGGTTCCTTTCCATTAGGTCAAAGGTCCAAGCTCTAGTAGTAAAGAGCTGCACCTAGCAGTACTGAAGAAGTGGAAGGAACTAAGCTGACACAGGCGTAACTTCAATTTTATGTGCTTGGTGATCAGAATCTACTTTAGGACAGTTTATATTTTGCATTCTGATGTACCTAGGAGTTTTGTTAAACAGATCATGTGTGTGAGTATTTATCCTTTATTTTATGCAATTAACCAAATCAACCAAAAAAGTGACCACGAAATCCTGTATTTGTCTTTTTACTACATGTATGAACTCTCTCATGTGAATGAGTACTGTAGTAATCCATTTTAAGGGAGCCTTACTTCAGAAATATTTCAAACTGGTGCAAATAGAAAAGACTTTTTTCTTTTCCTTTAAGGCTAAAGACAAGAATGTCATGCTATACAGGTGCAACTCAATATTTGTTAATAAAAACCAGTGTAGATATAGACATTTTACCATTTAAAGTAGCTGTGTCCCAACCTGTAGCCATTCATTTTTTGGAAATGGCTTTAGAAATTTCCAGGTTGCTCTTGAATTGTCTAACCACAGACATTAGCAGATGTCTTCCTTCTACCATGTAGAATACTTTGACTTAATTTTCTTCCAGATATAGGGGATACCTGCCTGTTTTTCCAAGTGTTTATTTACTGCTGTTATTATCTGATTAGAATGTATTAAATAAAAAAACTTGACTTTAAAAAAAAATGAATTGTAAAAGGGTAAGGTTCAACTGACAACTGAACTTAGGTTCAGTAAAACAACTGAATACCTCGAAAAGGGCCACCTGAAATCGGCAGCTGATTTTAAAAAAGCATGAGAGTTAACTAACTACAAGCTTGGTATGAGCCAAGAGTGTGATGTACTACACAAAAAAAGCTAATAGAATTTTAGCCTTATTAATAATGGTAGTATCCAGCCCAAGAGAACAGTAGTTCAAGTAAATTTTTCTCCGATTACCATGTTCTATTCTGAGCACATTTTAGAAAAAAAGTTGATGAAACAGAGCATTTCCAGAGGAAGGTAACCTAAATGCTTATCAGTTTGGAATATGGAATATATCAGGAATCGGGGATGTTTAACTTGCAAAATAGAAAAATCTGAGGAGATATGTAAACTGTCTTCACATATCTGAGAAGCTACCAGTGGGGAAAAATGTGTTCAGATCTATATAGCTTTAACCAGAAGAAATAATATCTACGTGTAAACGTTACACGGAATTCCATATAAAAAAGATCTAACAGTTGAATAATGTTAAAATGGGCTAGCTTAGGGTAATGTACCCTCTATCACCAAAGTATTCAAACAGAGATTATATTCATTTTCAACAAAATATACTGATCATCTAGGTCCTAGGAAGTATGCAAAACACAGATGATACGTAAATAACTAACACGGAAGGTAAAGTCTAGTGGTAGAAGCAAGTAACACCATCAATACATTTAAAATGACAAAACGATAAACCTGTAAGGAAAGGAATACAGTTCTTTAAAAGTATATAACAAAGGATCCTAACTTACAGTGTGGATTCAGAACAGCTTCCCTTGAGTAGCTGAGTGATATTTGAGTAGGAGGTAAATGGTTGGAGGCAGAACATTACAAAGGAAACAGTACTTATAAAGACTTTATGATAAGAGAAACTACCGTAGGTTCAAGGAATTGAAAGGCTTATATATTACATAATCTGAGCACAAAGTAAGAGAGTGAGTGGAGAGAAGTAGGGACAGAACCACAGAGAGCCTTGAAGGCCTTGTTAAGTATTTGGCCTTCTTCCAAAAGTAATAGGATGCTGCTGAGAAGGGGTTTAAACAGTAATGGGCATGCAAAGCAACAATCAATGTGGAGAATAGATTGGAGGTGGGCAAGAATGCTATAAGGAGACCACTTGGGAGTTTCCTGCAGTAGTCCAGACCAGAAATGATAGTAGCTTGTGAAAAGGAGATAAAAATGATTGGAGAGATTTTTAGGTTAAAATGACAGAACCCATGTCACTAGTACAGTGGGTGACTTGCGTATATACAGTTTAAAGCAACAATGTCTCCAAGCCAGATTATTTGGCCCCAATTAGACCTTTTTTGGGGGGGGTGTGGGGTGGGGGGACAGAACTCCGTGACAAATTTTGCTGGGGGGCAGAGGATGAGATGAAAAAGAGGTATAAAGGGTAACCCACTCTCCCCCCCACCCTAGGTTTCCAGTCTATACAACTGAATGGATGGTGGTGCCATTCAGTAAGAAAGGAAACAGGGAAAGTAAATATGGTCCCTGATTTACAATGGTTTCGGCTTACCATTTTTCAACTTTGTGATGGTGCAAAAGTGATAGGCACTCGGTAGAAATTGTACTTTGAGTACCCATATGACCAATCTGTTTTTTACTTTTAGTACAGTATTCAATAAATTACATGACATTCAACATTTTATTATAAGCCTTGAGATGATTTTGCCCAACTGTAGACTAATATTAATATAAGTGTTCTGAACATGTTTAAGGTAAGCTAGATTAAGCTATGATGTTCAGTAGGTTTGCTATATTAAACACATTTTCAGCTTATCATATTTTCAACTTACAATGGGTTTACTGGGAAGTAGCCATATTGTAAGTCAAGGAACATCTGTACTAGTTAGGTGGGCTAAATTCCTGGGTTCAGATTTGAACAAGCTGAATTTGAAGTGCCTTGATTTTAAACAGGCAGCTTGACATATTAATCTGGAATTTAAAGGACATGTCTGAACCGGGGGGTAAAATATTAAGAATCATTGGCATATAGACAGTTGTAGTTACAGGCTTAGAAGAGATTGCCTGAGCAGAAAATAGAGAGTGAGAAGAGGGCCTTTGAAGAATACCAGCATTAAATAACAGGGCAGTGGAGGGTGAGTCTGCAAAAGAGAGGAATGAGTCAAAACAGGAGCATCACAGAAGCCATGGGAAGAGTGTTTTCCATTAAGGAGGCAGTGGTCAACAACATCAAATGCTTCTGAGACACCAAATAAGGCAAGGACTGAAAAATATCAATTAAGTTTAGGGACATGGTTCAGCAGGATAATAGGGCCAGAAATCAGACTGCAATGGATAGAGGGGTGAGTAGGTGGTAAGCAAATGACAATAAATATAGACAACTCTATCAAAATTTCTTGCTGTAAGGTGGAAAGCGAGGTGGCAGCTGTGGGGGTGGAGGGAGGGTTTGCTTTAACATAGGAGAAGCTTGAGCATGTTAAGAAGGAACATGTAAGTATGTTATTCAGGAGAGGGGTTCCTGATAAGGGAAAAGATAGAATCTAAAGTATAGGTATAGGAATTAGCCTAAAATAAAAGGAGAGGCTATGGAGAAAAGGAAGAGAAAGAGGCAGAACTAAATGACCTTTAAGGTCTCTTCTGACTCTACTATCTCATGACCTACAATTCCTTTTGGATAGGGTATTTACATGTATGCATATTTCAATGCAAACTTATTCAAATATTCTGGTCTAAATGGATCAGTCAAGCATATCCTTAACCCCTAATGACGCAGTTAATGTCCCCAGGTTTATGACCAGTATAATCACTGGGCAGGATCCATTGCTCAAAGAGCTTTTAGCTCAAGGCACGCTGCAATACAGCACTGAACCAGCCCTATCTCTCCTCGACAAACCCGTCCCACCCCGCGATCCTCAAGGCTAAAGGAGGAAGTAAAATTTAAAGCCCTGAAACTACAACATATTTTGCCGCATTCGACTGTCATTCATAAAAACAAAACGCAATTCCCCAAATCCATCCCCACTCCAGGCGAAAGCCATTCCTGCCTGACCCGACAGGTGACAGGTCCCCCAGATGGCGGGGGTTTAACAGTAAAAGTCGTTAGCACCCCCTCCTCTTTCACAAGACCTTTTATTCGTGAGGAACCAGACTTGGGTTCCTGCGGATCCTTCCCACACCCCTCGCCCAAATGCAGCAGACAGACTGCCGGCAGTTATTCCGGCGGCGGCACCTAATGAGCGCCCTCGGGGGGCTGCGGAGAAACCCCCAGAGCCCGTGAGGAGGGGGTCCACCGGCCACGACCCTGCGGCTGCCTGGAGGACGAGGGAGACAAGGCCCAGGGGGTGGGAAGGGAGGATGAAGGGAGGCGCAGCAGACGCGGGTAACCCGGGGGTCATCTCCCCTCGAGCGGGACGGAGTTTCTGAGGAGGGCTAATCCTTGCCACAGCACCCCTGTCCTCTCAAGATCCGCTCTGGCCCCCCGCCCTTCCAGCACCCCACTCACTGCCCAGACTCACTCCCTCTCCCCTGGGGCCGCCGGAGCCTCGCAGCGCCCGCGAGCCCCGCGCCCCCGTCTGGAGCCTCGGCTCTCGAGCCCGCACTCACCCGGCCCGCCATCTTCGTGGACACGTCCGGCTCCCCGGCTGCAGCTCAGCGCTCAGCAAAGCCCGCCCCCGCCGCGCGCGTCCCCGCCGCCCGTCCTCGCGCAGGCGCGCAGCCGCTGTGAGGCCGCGCGCGTCCTTGGCGTCCCGCCCCGCAGGACGCGCGCGGGCCCGGCGGCCGCCGGGGACGCGCGAGACGGGCGGTGCGGCGGCGCCATTTTGGACACGAGCTCTAAGAGTACGCGTCCGCGTTCCGCTCGCGCAGGGCTCCTTCGGCGGGTCTCACCACAGCCGGCCATTTGCGCCGGAACTTGTAGCAAGGCCTTTGACGCTGTTTAGCCACTTATCTCTTTGCTAGCTGCCGTTCGCCCTTTAATGGCAATTTGCTCTGCGCTTCCATACTCACTTAAATGAGGTAGCGCGTGACTGGCCTTCCCCTAAGGAAGGTCAGTACCAAGTTTTGTTCTGAATTCAAGTTCTGCTTGGATTTAAGCTTTTATGTGTAGACATGCTTGTTTTCCTAGTTCCTGGAAATTGTCAACATATCATTTTAATTCAGTTTATGTGTTCCCAGGAAAAATTAATGTTTGCTTCAAATTTGAAAGTGAATTGTGATTATTTTTATATGTTTTATTTTACTATTAAGTCTTTATAAAGACATTATCTTTAGCGATCTTTTTCATTTCCCAGTGTTGTTCCATTTTATACAATATATGTGGTGGAACTTGAATAAAATATGCCCCCAATTTGGCCTTTTTAACCTCGATGTCTCCACAATATCATTTCTTCACTGGAATCTCAGAATAGCTAAATTCAAGCACCCTGCAAGAAGAAAGTGACTGCCCTGTGGATTCTCTGATGCTTTTATTGAGCCCTGCTATCTTTTCTTCATATTTGCACAAGACAATAAGGAATGATAGGATTTGTTATCTTTCATTTCTAACAGTTAAGTGGGAAAAATAGCTTTTTTCAAACATGAGGAAAGGAAAGAAAGAATTAGAAGAGATGGGCATGCTTAGCAATTTAAAATTGAGTTCAGAGAAAACCAAAGAGTAACCGAGGATGGGCCAAGGCAGAAGAAAAAAATTCATGCCAGTTTCATAAACTCTCCCACTGAACCTGAGAACCAGGTGCTTTGTTGGCCAAATCAGATGTTAACTAAATCATGGTTGGATCAGAGAGATAGATGGGAAACTGGTTGTATTCTGATATATTAATTTGCAGAAGCTGTAGCAAATCTTAAAATTGATTGACAAGTCAGGAAGCTTAGGTTCTTGTCCTCATCCTTGTCTGCCACTCACCTGCTGTGTCCCTTCACCTCTCTGAGCCCCTCCCCTTCCCTTATTGTAAAGTGAGAGATAAAACTAGATAAGCTTAACAGTTATATTTTACATTTTTTATACTTTGAATTTGGACCTATAAATCAAAGATATTTTGTCCAAATTAATTACCAGATGCAAAAGATGACACTGGTTCTCAGTCCAATGATTTGATATTGTTTTCAAGTTGAAGAATAATGCAAATGTGTCCATATCACTGATTGATTGGTCTTATTTTACTAGTTAAAGAGGTTGCAAGTAGAAATGTCTTCAATGTCTCCAACAAGAAGGAATGTTATCATCTTGGAAGGATATGCCTGCTGGAAAGTTTCCAGTGTCATCATATGTGAATATCCACCCATGGTAAGAAGCCCTTTGTATCCTCTTAAAAGTGGTAAAAATTAAATAAAGTCATGTGCACAGCCCTACAGGGTCTACCAAAGAAATTGCAGGCAGATGTAGCTCTTGTCCTTAAGGTACTTAGCATCCAGCAGGAGGGGAAGGATTCTAAGACATTGTTCCAGATATTCCATATGTCTCTGCATGCCATTTGTGCCTTGTTCTGACATTCAAGGTCATCTTAGAAACAGTGGAGCTGATTCTGCATCATTTTCTGAGCAATCCTTGCAATGATAGTTGATAGGCAACAAATATTCTTGCTGCCCCAGATCCACTCCCCGCTTTTCTGGTAACACTCCCCCAGTTCATGCAACCTTGGAAGGATTCTCAGGCAAAGTACCATGCGTGCCCTTTTCTGGCTCAGGAGTGAGCACAGAACTCAGGTTCAATCAATCAGAGGCTCGCTCTCTCTTTCCCCCAAGCAACTGCAATCTTGACTGTCCTGAGGAAGAAAGACAGAAATATCTAGAGCTCATTTACTGCAATGATGACACCCTGAAGTTTTCTTGATCGTTAGTTTTCCTGATCCCTGGAGTTTACATGATTTCTGTCTTCTGCTAAATCTTATTGTCCCCCTTTGTCTTGATTTCTGTCAGTCACTTCTTTCTCTTCCGAAAAAAATACCTCCCTCAGCTCTTCATTGATCCCTGAAATCCTTTTAATATGCTTTTCTTTTACAGTGAGAAAATAAGTAAGACATCTAACACAATGATTTAAATTTATCCTAAAGTATAAATGAGGCTGGGTGCAGTGGCCCACCCCTGTAATCCTAGCACTCTGGGAGGCCAAGGCAGAAGGATTGCTTGAGGCCAGGAGTTCAAGACCAGCCTGAGCAAGAGCAAGACCCCATCTCTACCAAAAATAGGAAAAACATTAGCCTGGTGTGGTGGCACGCACCTGTAGTCCAAGCTACTCAGGAGGCTGAGGCAGGAGGATCGCTTAAGCCCAGGATCCTGAGGTTGCAGTAAACTATGATGGCACCACTGCACTTTACCTGGGGCAACAGTGAGACTCCTGTCTCGAAAGAAGTGTAAAAGACTAATATCATTTTCTAAAGACTGGAGGGCTTTGGGGGCGGGGGCAGGAGGTGGCACTAGGGATATAGTCAGTGAGGAAAGGTACCTCAAAAGGTGGGGAGAGATGAAGACATGATGAAATGGAGATGGCAGGACCCAGGATGATGAACGATGAGGTGTGGGATTAAGGAGCAGGTTTGACCAAGGTCATCTCTTGCTGAACATAACCCTTTGTGATCCAGTGTGATGGTTAATTTTGTGTCACCATGGCTGGACATGTTGTCCAGATGTTTGATCAAATATTATTCTGGATGTTTCTGCAAGGGTGTTTTTGGATGAGATTTACATTTAAATCTATAGACTAGGCCGGATGTGGTAGCTCATGCCTGTAATCCTAGCACTCTGGGAGGCCGAGGCGGGCGGATCGCTTGAGGACGGGAGTTCAAAACCAGCCTGAGTGAGACCCCGTCTCTACTAAAAATAGAAAGAAATTAATTGACCAACTAAAAATATATATAGAAAAAATTAGCCGGGCATAGTGGCGCATGCCTGTAGTCCCAGCTACTCGGGAGGCTGAGGCAGGAGGATTGCTTGAGCCCAGGAGATTGAGGTTGCTGTGAGCTAGGCTGACGCCACGGCACTCACTCTAGCCTGGGCAACAGAGTGAGACTCTGTCTCAAAAAAAAAAAAAAAATCTATAGACTTTGAGTACGGATTGCCTTCCATAACATCTGTGGGCCTCATCCAATCTGCTGAAAGCGTGATAAAATAAAAGGCCAAACTCATCCAGAGCAAGAGAGAATTCTCTAGCAGATTGCCTTTGGACTAGAACTGCAACTCTATCATGGGTCTCTAGCATGCCAGCCTCCCTCATCAGATTTTAGACTCCCCAAGTCTCCACCATCACATGAGCCAATTCCTTAACTAAATATTTTCATATATATATACACACACACACACACATATTCTATTCTGTTTCTCTAGAGAACCCTGATGAATGAATATACTCAGTTTTCTGTCAGTGACAATGATGTGGTTCCAGCTATTACAAAGTAAAACTTGGTATCGCCTGTTGCTCCTTGGTAGGTAACCAACATCTACAGGTGAAGGTCTGATTCAAAGACTTGAAGACAGTGCACAGAGATAATTTTATGTTCAAATTATGTACCATTAAATATTACTTAATGAGTGCTCCATTGGAATGGAACTGAGTAACATTTTGGTTATATAGACATTTTGGTTGTAAAGATTATAGTAGCAGAATTTAGATAGGGAAAAATAAATTTCTTCTACATTTTGAGGAGTGAGGGCAATATTATTAATAAACAACATAGAAGCGAACTCATTTACTGTAATCCACTTTATTTAACAAAGCAGTGTGGCTTTTTGGTGCTTTTCATATTAACCAAAGGAAAACTATCTTTAGTCTGTGGAAACTGTAGGGTTAAACAAATGGTGGTGGGGACAGAGATAGGAATTTCTAGTCACTGCAGGGCTGATTCAAAGGTCTTCCATCAGGATTGTATGCAGGTGTTTCAGGGAACAGTCCTATTCGGTGAATTCACCCTGCACTGTAATTGTCAAAAGGCATCTTGCAGACTCTGTTTGTGTGTGTGTGAGTGAGTGTGACAAGGACCTGCACTGCCCCTCTTATAGAACATGTCATTGTGAAGCAAAGTTGGTCTTTAGAGCTCCTTTTACATCCTTCCCTCTGCATCTCCTCCTCTCTTCCCCAAGTTCTTTCATCATTAGTAACTTAATATATTACTCCTCCCAGGAGTATTTGCAATTCAAGAGAATATTGCTGGGAGAGCAATGCCTAACCTAAGGAAACAAACCTCTAACAGCAACATTTCAGTGCCTGTGACACTCTGTGGGGAGCCATCTGGGGGTAGAGAGCCTTATTCTTGCCCCTCTAATCATAACCCACAGGTCAGCCACCCGTGCTGTGCAAGCCCAGGCCTTCTGGGAACCTGTGAACACTGAAATTTACAGCCCCATCACAGCCACTTTTAGGATGACGGAGTTGCCATCTGTTTGTTTTCTGTCAGAGAAACCTAATTCCCAAAATGATGGATGAAGCTAGAGAATGGAGCAAAATGGAAAAAGGATAAGGGATTTTACAAAGAAAAGGCCAGCTGACGCAATGCAGTATTCTAGTTGCAGCCAGTGGGGGGGGGGGGAGGTGTTTATTTTAAATGAATATATCTTTTGTCTTTGCAGGATCAAGGACAAACACCTAGAGTCACAAAAATTAATTCATTCTGGAAACTGTGAGTGGGCAGGAGAGATGATAGAATCCTCCATGGAAAGGAAGGGCTGTTGCTATGGAAACCAAATGATCCTTTAGTGGGAGCCCCAGTGCACTTGCCAGGCTGCCTAACCCTGCATATTAACACTGTAGGGCCAGAAGGCTGCCTGCACCTCTTTGAAAAGGGATTTTTCAAATATTGTTTTGATGAGCTTTTGTGTGTCTTGGGAAAAGGAAGTCAGAATCTCCTGCGAAGGGGTGAGTTGCCTAGAACCTTAAAACACTAGAGGCCACACACCACAGTGGATTGGGATAACTGTACTGGCTACCTGTGATGTTTCTCAGGAAGGCTCCTGAGAGAAAGTGAAGATGTGTCTTAAGGATTCTCCTAAGGGTGAGTTCACTGGAGGGCTGTTCTAGGGCAAAGAACATGTATAGCCGGGCTTTCCAAAAGAGGAAGAAGATATCCTGTGAGCAGAAGTTTTATCAGAATGGAGCAGTATGTCCAGTACCACTTGGGGGAAGGTGTTCTGGGCATTCTGTGTGACATTTAAACCCTCAAACTTCAGTATTTTTATGTGAGGATTAGATAATTATCTTAGAATACCTAATACATTCAGCAACAGACCCAGCATATACACAGTATATACTATCATGCCAATACTACTATTATTAAAACTAATCCTGGCCGGGCGTGGTGGCTCACACCTGTGATCCTAGCACTCTGGGAGGCCGAGGTGGGTGGATTGCTCGAGGTCAGGAGTTCGAAACCAGCCTGAGCAAGAGCGAGACCCCATCTCTACTATAAATAGAAAGAAATTAATTGGCCAACTAATATATATACAAAAAATTAGCCGGGCATGATGGCGAATGCCTGTAGTCCTAGCTATTTGGGAGGCTGAGGCAGGAGGATTGCTTGAACCAGGAGGTTGAGGTTGCTGTGAGCTAGGCTGATGCCACGGCACTCACTCTAGCCTGGGCAACAAAACGAGACTCTGTCTCAAAAAAAAAAAAAAAAAAAAACGAATCCTAATAATACTATTAACCAATTTTAGTCTAACCCAGAGATGGAGAGTTTTTCCCAAATAAGAGGTTTCTCAGAGTGAAATTATCTCTCTGCTTCTCCCAAGAGCACTTTGTCCTTTGAATGCTTTACAAATAATACTATATTGATAACAAGTGTTTTCTATTAAGAAAAAAACATTAAACTAATATCACCATAAGCAATTCATGTTTACTGAGTCACTGAAGTTTGAGATTGATAAGCTTCTTTGCCTTGGAAGTCAGTAGGACATGACATCATCTGTAGTAGATGAGATAAAAATACTAGTAAACATTTGGATAAAATAACAAGTAATCAAAGAAATGAAGATTAAACTAACATGAGTTTTTTTGTGTTGTTACCAAATTATTAAAACAAAACTCACCAAAAACCTACCTTTAAAAAAAGTCCATATTTTAGGTTCACAAAAAAATTGAGGAAGGTATGAAGATATCCCATCAATTCCCTGCCCCCATAAATACATAGCCTCCCTCACTATCAACATGTGGTACATTTGTTATAATTGATGAGCCTACACTGACAGATCATTATTACCCCAAACCCATAGTTTAGATTAGGGTTCACTCTTGGTGTTTATACGTTCTGTGGGTTTGGACAAATGTACAATGATGTGTCCACCATTATAGTATCATAGAGAATAGTTTTGCTTCCCTAAAAATCCTGTGTGCTCCACCTATTCATCCCTTTCTCTCCACTAGCCCCTTGAAACTACCAGTCTTTTAACTATCTCCATAGTTTTGCCTTTTCCAGAATATTATATGTATGTATGTAGCCATTTCAGATTGGCTTCTTTCACTTAGGAATATGTATTTAAGTTTCCTCCATGTCTTTCCATGGCTTGATAGCTTATTTTTAGTGTGGAATAATATTCCACTTTTGTGATGTACTACACTTTATTTATTCACCCACTGAAGGACATCTTGGTTGCTTTCAAGTTTTGGCAATTATGAATAAGCTGCTATAAACATCTGTGTGCAGGTTTCTGTGTGGATATGATTTACTTATGCCCAACTCTTACTCAGCTCCTTTGGGTAAGAGTATGTTTACTTTTGTAAGAGACTGACAAACTGTCTTCCAAAATGGCTGTTCCATTTTGCTTTCCACCAACAATGAATGAAAGTTCCTGTTGCTCCACAAAAACCCACTTTTTAAAAAAGAGCTTAATAGATGATGAAGTAAGCATGGCTTTCAATTGGTTGATGGAAATGTAAATTTGTAGAATATACTCAGAAAACAATTTGACAATGTAATATGTATCAAGAGCATTAAGCATCTTCATGTTGTGACCCAGTTATTCCAACTTAGAAATTCTTTCATAAAACATAGCAAGACACTGGGTGCAGTGGCTCATGCCTGCAGTCCTAACACTCTGGGAGGCCAAGGCGGGAGGCTCACTTGAGCTCAGGAGTTCGAGACCAGCCTGAGCAAGAGTGAGACCCCATCTCTACTAAAAGTAGAAAAATTAGTCAGGCGTTGTGGTGTGCACCTATAGTTCCAGCTACATGGAAGGCTGAAGCAGGAGGATCACTTGAACCCAGGAGTCTGAGGTTGCTGTGAGCTAGGCTGACCCCGCTGCGCTCTAACCCAGGGAACAGAGCAAGACTCTGAGTCAAAAACAAAACAAAACAAAACAAAAAACATAGCAAGGAATACAGGAAGAAAAAAGATGTTCTACTAGGATCAAAAGAATCTGTTAATAAAATAAAAATTTAAAGATTAAAAAATGAAAAAAACAGATACTTGCTATAAGATTTTTCATAATAGAAAAATTTAGAAACAACCTAAATGTTGAACTACATGAAAATTATTGAATAAATTAGGGTACATCTATATGTTGGAACATCAGCAGTATCAAAATGTTTTTAAAAATGTTAAATAATGTGGAAAATGCTCAAATAAAAATGTGAAGCGGAAAAAGAAAATTTTATGTATTCATAATCTGTACTATGTACAAATTGCATAGCAAAATGACTGAAATAGAAACAAACCAAAATGGTAACAGTGATTGCCTCCCACCCAGGCCCTTGGTTGGTAGGATGGGTGATTATTTCTTTTTCCTCCTCTTCCTCCCCATTCTCTCTCCTCTCAATGCCTTTTTTCCCATGTACTATGGGAAATTACTGTATAATTTTTTATACTCAGCAAAAATATACTTTAATTATTATTATTATTTTTTGAGACAGAGTCTCATTGTTGCCCAGGCTAGAGTGAGTGCCGTGACGTCAGCCTAGCTCACAGCAACCTCAAACTCCTGGGCTCAAGCAATCCTTCTGCCTCAGCCTCCCAAGTAGCTGGGACTACAGGCATGCGCCACCTGCCCGGCATTTTATATATATATATATATGGCCAATTAATTTCTTTTATTTATATAAGACGGTCTCGCTCTTGCTCAGGCTGGTTCCAACTCCTGACCTTGAGCAATCCGCCCACCTCGGCCTCCCAGAGAGCTAGGATTACAGGCGTGAGCCACCGCGCCCGGCCTAATATACTTTAATTTTTAAGGAGTGAGTAGAAACCCTTCTCATATATTTACTCTCATATATACACTGACTGTAATCAGAAGAGTACAGTATTGTATTTGGTTAAAAAGATTAAGGTGTCAGATACAGCTTTATTTTTTTTTTTTGAGACAGAGTCTCACTTTGTTGCCCAGGCTAGAGTGAGTGCTGGCGTCAGCCTAGCTCACAGCAACCTCAAACTCCTGGGCTCAAGCAATCCTCCTGCCTCAGCCTCCCGAGGCATGCTGCCACCATGCCGGCTAATTTTTTCTATAATATTTAGTTGGCCAATTAATTTCTTTCTATTTATAGTAGGAGGGTCTCACTCTTGCTCAGGCTGGTTTTGAACTCCTGACCTCGAGCAATCCGCCTGTCTCGGCCTCCAGAGTGCTAGAGCCACCGCGCCCGCCCCAGATCCAGCTTTGAATTTCTGCTAGGCTACTTAATTTTTCTTTGTAAAACGGGAGTGGTAACAGTTTCTAACTCACTGGGCCTTATGGGCACGTAGGTATAGTTCCTGACATAGTTCCTGGCACATATTTTGTTTAATAGATGTTAGTTATTCTGATTATTTCAGTTATGTACCATTTACAGGCGTTTGTAACCTTTTTAGCTAACCAAGTTGTCATTTAGGCAACCTAGTTACAGAAAGTACCTCAGAAGTGAGGACTGTGGTTCTGCGACGTCTTGACGAAGGTGCAGGTGGCTAGCATTTTCCTCACCTATTAAAAATCTGCGTATAGGAAGGACGGAAAGCTAGCTTCAGGCTGAATAGGAAACCTTCCTTCAGCCTAACTTCGGTGTCGGTGTCTGGGCATTTGAGGCGGAACACAGCCCCAAACTAGTTTCTACTTTTAGCTCAACCGCGGCAAATCTCCTTAAATACCACTATGAATTTGGCCTTTCCCACGTACCAGCATCTGATTGGTGTGAATGCTCCCCGGTTAGTTCAATCCCTGGGTTTTTTCCCAGTCGATTGGCCGTGCAAACGGGAAACCCTTTTACTTTTCCGATTGGTCACACGCAGCATCCGGCACGTGGGCGTTTCTTGCTGGGACGCGATGAGCTGTCATTGGAAGATGAACCTGAGAGGGGTGCCTCCTCCCGCCGCCCTTATTGTTCTTTACATTGGCCAGACTTGTCGTCACTCACAAGATATCGAGCTCATTGGTTAAGAGCTCCAAGAGGTGGTGGGTGATTGGTTGGTTGCTGTTCCTGCTCCCACGCCCGTAGCAGTTTTGCTGAGGGGAGCGGAAATCCGAAAGGCGGCAGAGTTGGTAACTGTGTGAGTAAAGGCCTTCAGAGCCGCGACTCACCGCGATAGCTGAGTCGCGGGGCTGACAGGAAGGGACGGCAGCACTCAAGCCCCCCCTGGATTTCCGCTTAGTCAGCGGGCGGAAAAATGGAGTGCGGCAATGGCCTGTGGAAAGTGGTTGGGCCGCGCTTTTCCTGCTCCGCCCTCTCTAGGGCCGGGGCAGCGGGGAACCGAGAGCGGCATGGTGGGTTGCCCTCCCGAAGGCCCCAGGTTGAGAAGGTAGCGGCCTGGCAGCCCGGGTGCCCGCCACGCACGCTGACCTTGCCACAGCCCTTGAGGTCTAGCTGTTGCTTTTCCCTGATGGACATCTGGTGCTTGTGGCCGGGAGGGTGAGCGTGCCAAAGAGGCCGAGTGGTCGGCGGCCTCTTAACTCCAGCCGGTCTCCAGCGGCGCTGGGGAGTGTGGGCCGCGGGCGCCTGCGGCACAGAAGTGCGAAGAAGAGGAAAGCGAAGCGAGAGAGAGAACAAGGTGGTGTGCTCTGTGCGCTTGTCAGGGGGAATCAGGCACCACCTGTCTCAAGGGGCATCTAGGCGGGAAGAACCTTCCCTTCGCGAGCATGCTTCTTAAGGTTTTCCTCGTCTGTAAGATTTGTCCTTTTCCGGGAACGAAGAAAAGGAATCTCTAGTTTTGTTGCCCTGAAAGATTTTGAGTGCTGCAACGCACTGGACTTCTGTAGACCTATAATGGACCTTAGGTGAATCATTAAAGCATTCGTCATTCTTTGGTCACCTATTCCGCACTCCGTACAGGGTAAATTCTGTGCTCGCTTTCTCTGGTCGTAGCTGAAGTGGTGTGTACTTGAACATAATCCATGATGTTAAGCTACTGTGGGAAACTTGAATTTCTGGGGTGTGGCTTTTGGAATTTGGTTACCTTTGAAGGAACTCAGGAAATTTCATCCCAAAATATGACTCTTTGGTATAAAGAGTATTTTGAATTAAAGGCCCTTAGAGACCAACAGGCCCTTGGAAAAGGCTTTCTATCTGCATAACCAGAGGGACCCATCAAAAGAACAATGGAGCCCAGTGCAGTGGCTCACGCCTGTAATCCTAGCACTCTGGGAGGCTGAGGCCAGCGGATTGCTCGAGGTCAGGAGTTCAAAACCAGCCTGAGCGAGACCCTGTCTGTACTATTGACGGGGTCTCTGTACAACTAAAAATATATATAAAAGAAATTAGCCAGGCATGGTTGCGCATGCCTGTAGTCCCAGCTACTCGGGAGGCTGAGGCAGTAGGATCGCTTGAGCCCAGGAGATTGAGGTTGCTGTGAGCTAGGCTGACACCACAGCACTCATTCTAGCCTGGGCAACAAAGTGAAACTCTGTCTCAAAAAAATAAAATAAAGAACAATGGAATTCCCTTCCCCTCCCTGGTACCTCAGTATATTGCGGGAAAGAAAATCAAGAATGCAACCAGACCTGGCCCAAATAATTTTAAATAGAATACCTGTCTCTCAAGCTTAATTTAATTTGCAAAGAAAATCATTTACAAGTCGGTCTATTTCCCCCATCCATTCATCCTCCCTAGCAACCATTTATTGCCTATAAGCAGAATTACCTACATTCCCTATCTTCTTACCTCTAAAAAGAGGGTATAAAAATATCTGTATCCCCTTGGGATATTGAGTAATCACTCTGATTTTTCCCATGTGTGTGGGGTGAATAACCTCTTCGTCTTATTAATCTGCCTTAATTGTGAGTCTATCTTTCAGTGAATTTTGGTCTGGGGGAAAGGGAAAGTTTCCTCTCGCCCCACACCTTCCTTCTGAGGTCACTAGGGTCTGGATGAATAAGAGATTGGGTATTCTTGTTGCATCTTCCCCCTGCCCTGCCCAGGAGTAAAAGCTTTCTGTGGTTAGCAATTTAAAAGGAAAATAAATCACAGTCTCTGGAACTAGGATGTATGTCTTTTTCTTTTGGAAGATCTTTATAGACTTCCCAGAGCTTGGTTAAGAGGTGTAGACACGTTACTCCTGTTAAGACTTTAATTAGAATGTCAAGCTCACACTTCAAGTGGGCTGATCTGTTAAAAGAAAAAAGATTGTAAATTTCTGTAAAGCTAGTCTAACTTTACTATTGCCTTCCTTTATGTAATCTACCATGCTGTCCACTGAAAAATAAAATATTGAACATTTATGCTATTGGAAATCAATGTAATGATTACCTTTGGTGGAGTAATGACTGGGAGGAGGCATAAGAGAGTCTGGTCTGATAGTCATCTTTTCTTGATGTTGTTAAACAGCTATGTTTGGTTTGTGAAAATTCATTGAACTTCACAGTTATCATGCATGTTTATTATCTGTATGTAAATTATATTTCAATAAAAAGTTCTAAAAATTAGGCCAAGTGTGGTGGCACATGCCTGTAATTGTAGCATTCTGGGAGGCCAAGGTGGGAGGATGGTTTGAGCTCAGGAGTTCAAGACCAGCCTGAGCAAGAATGAGATCCTGTTTCTACTAAAAATAGAAAAATTAGCTGGGCATGATGGCATGTGCCTGTAGTCCCAGCTACTCGGGAGGCTGAGACAGGAGGATTGCTTGATCCCAGGAGTTTGAAGTTTCAGTGAGCTATGATCATGCCACTGCACTGAACCCAAAGTTCTGAAAACTGGTTGAGAGTAAGGTGATAGTTACTCCAACAGAACCCTGGATGCTGTGGTATCTCTTAGCAGTCATATTTCCCATGCTGAATTTCCTAACCTCTGGAATTTCTTAGGTTCTTTTCTGGGTCATCTACTAGCCAAAGGCAAGTACTAAATTTCCAGCAGATACTGTTATTTAACCTGCCTTAAGGACTTTGCTTCATATTGCATGAAATAAATGGCTTCTCTACTTCATAAGTTCTTATTTCAAGAGATTTAGCATGAGGTGTAAATGTATTTGTTGTGGCATTGCTTCTGAATCTAAGATGACTGAAGCCTGCCACCATAGTGGCAGTATTAAGGCTGTGCTTCTGCATATCCCACTTGATGCTGCAGTGGAAAATATAATTTTCTGACAAGGCATCACAGGCTTAGTTGCATCTCCCTTTGAAAACAAGATGGACTACTCATTGGCCAAACTGTGCTTAAAATTGTTTAACTTTTACTAGGAGTCATTTCTAATTGAGACTTGTATTTTATGTATATTGCTTCTGTGTCTCTGCAAAGAGCAATTATTTGACTTGCTTTTCTTTTCATGTTATAGAATTCAATTACAATGGGAAACGTTTTTGAAAAGCTGCTTAAAAGTCTATTTGGGAAAAAAGAGATGAGGATTCTTATGTTGGGTTTGGATGGAGTTGGAAAAACCACCATCTTGTATACATTGAAGCTGGGAAAGATTGTGGCTGCTGTCCCTACGACAGGTATGTTAATGACCTGTGGCAATTCCAGTTTACAATTTAGTGTGTTATATTTTTACACGTTTCTTATGTTATTGAATATTTCTTTTTGAAAATCTTATCTACTCCAAGAGCATAAGCTTTTTGAGGCCAAAAACCAGGTTATATATCCTTTACTCATTGCTCCCAGCATCTCTAGCACATTCCCACGTTCACAAGAGAGACGTGTGAACACATTCAGGTTAAGCAAATTTAATCCTATCTGCTCGGCAAAAATGAAAAAGACAGGCCAGGTGTGGTGGCTCATGCCTGTAATCCTAGCACTCTGGGAGGCTGAGGAGAGAGAATTGCTTGAGCTCAGGAGTTGGAGACCAGCCTGAGCAAGAGCAAGACTCCATCTCTACTAAAAATAGAAAGAAATTAGCTGGATGACTAAAAATATATAGAAAAAATTAGCCGGGCATGGTGGTACATGCCTGTAGTCCCAGTTACTTGGGGGGCTGATGCAGAAGGATTACTTGAAATCAGCAGTTTGAAGTTGCTATGAGCTAGGCTGATGCCACAGCACTCTAGCCAGGGCAACAGAGTGAGACTCTGTCTTAAAAAAAAAACAAAAAAACAAGAAAATGAAAAAGATAATGATTTAAACAGTGAGGGTAGTTATTCCCTCCATTCCTTTTAGTTAGTGTCCCAGCAGAAGCCTGAGGTGGGAGCTGGAACTCTGCTGGTGCCTCCTTGTCACTCTCGGTTCCAGCTGGCCTTCCTTAGTGGAAGCATCTCATCTCTCCACACCAAGTGTGCTCCTGGTGTTAAAAGATGGTGTGTGATTTCTTTTCTTCACTCTGGCTCAAGTCAACTATGGTTGACTTGATGGTTGAGGTGATGTCCAGCTAAGTAGAGAAGATTTGGTCAGATTTGGTAGTGGGGCTTTGCATGTGAGAAAGTGGGATCTGTCTAGGATGCCTCCCCGGGTTTCAGCTTGTACAATGAGTCAACGAGGGGATAACTAGTAGAGGACCAGGTTGAGGAGTAGGGATTTAAACTCAGTTTTTTTACAGATAACCTTATTTTGGAGCTTGAAGACATCTAACCAAAGTTGTTAGATTATGAGCCTGAAGCTCAGAAGAGAGGTCTGAGCTTGGAGAATACAAATCTGAGAGTTGTCAGTACAGAGATGGTAATGCAGCCCTAGGAACGAGTGAGATTGCCTAGGGAGGGATGTGGAAAGAGGAGAATGGATGCGACAGGCCAGAGTCGTGGGGACTCCATAGTTGTAGGACCAGTTAAATGTGGCTGAGTTCTCAGATTGGAGAGTAGAGAATATTTGAGACACCTGTCATGAGTGGAAGAGTAAGGTAGCACGTTCTCTTTGTAAACTATGGATCTTTGACTAGCAAGGTGTTTTGTACATTGAAAGTACTATCCAAATGTTAGTTGAAATTATTTTGAATTGCTCAACCAGAAAGTCATAATTAAAAGTTTTCTTTTTATTCCATTTAGGTTTCAATGTGGAGACGATAGAATATAACAATATCAGCCTCACAGTCTGGGATTTTGCTAGCCACGTCACAATCAGACCTATGTGGCGACATTATTTTAAGAACACAAATGGTAAAGATTATCCAGTCTGTACCCTTGGAACTGTTTCTATAAATTGTATATAAAGATGGGGCCAGGTGCAGTGGCTCAACGTTTGTAATCTTAGTACTCTGGGAGACCGACGTGGATCACTTGAGCTCAGGCATTTAAGACCAGCCTGAGCAAGAGTGAGACATCGTCTCTACTAACAATAGAAAAATGGTAGCGTGTGCCTGTAGTCCTAGCTACTCTAGAGGTCGAGACAGGAGGATCATTTCAGCCCAGGAGCTTGAGGTTGCAGTGAGCTATGATCATGCCACTACACTAAAGCCCAGGTGATAGAGTGACACCCTGTCTGAAAAAAATTAAATAAAAAATAAAAATAAAGATGGATGCTTGTAGCAATATCCTGTAGTATTCTGATTTATTTGGACTGGCCGTCATTACCTCTCTTCTGATGGCCTCCTAACTTACTAAGAAGGTTTCTTTTTGAGATGTGGTCCCTATGTTCCTAGAAAAAGTATGTGGACTTTAATGTTCTGTATAGGAAACTTCCCTTAATCCAGAATGGTTAGAAAATGGTTATCCTGATAGTTTATCTTTCAGCTTATTGACAGGTAAATGTGACTTAGATAAAGTACCAGTTTGGGAAGAATTTGAAATCAGTTAACTCTTTTAAACCTGTTGAGAATGTCTAAAAATTATGCCTCTGGGGAGAAATAGATAAACAGGCATAGATAGAATCCCAAATCCCGAATCCTGGCATCTGTGGCAACAGTCCCTTCTTGCTGTCCTACTGTCGTACCAGCGCATGAATAGGCACGAATATCCCAGATCAATACCTTGTTTCCTTACCATTGGTTTCTTAAAAGTAGGGATTTTAATGTACTCCCCCATCAATCTATTTGAGTTTTTTCATTGATTATATTTTAGATAAATGACACCTTACTGAATATTGCCTATTAAGATATCTGGGACTGGTCACATACAGTCATCCCTAGGTATCAATGGGGCTTGGTTCTAGAACCTCCTTGGATACCAAAATCCACAGTTTCTCTATTTTCTTATATAAAATGATGTGATATTTGCATATAACCTACATACATCCTCTGGTATTTTTTAAATCATCTCTAGATTACTGATAATACTTAATATAATATAAACGCTCAGGAAATAGTTGTCATATTGTATTGTTTTTTAGTGTTTGGTTTGTTTTTTTTTTTCATGTGATTTTTGTCTTTGTCCTCTAATTAGTTTTTTAAATTATTTGATTGATCAAAGCTATTCTTATTCATATGTTGATAATTTATCGATATATTTTTGAGTATTCTATAGTCCTTTATGCTCCACTTTTTGGATAGGTGATGATTGTATATTTTTGTTCCTATGCTTAATATATATCTTGGCTGAACGGTTTGCTTAAAGTAGATTCTAAGTTATCAGCCTTTATCGGACTGTGTACTTGTGACACATTCTTGACAATTCGAATCTCATCAGTCCGTGGGTTCTAGTCCACTGTTTGGCTCTCTTTGTAACAGACATTTCACTTCTGGCATGAAGCATTACAGCTTTTACATAATTTGGCACAGGTCCCACTTTATTTATTTTACTGTAGCTGCTTGGGGGATTGCTTCACTGCGGGATTCTTGATCATTTAAATTTTCTATTTGCCTAGGCCAATTGTTAGTTGTGCATGGTTTTAAGTATAGTCAGCTATTTCCAAACTAGACGCTCATTCCTCTAAATTCTGAATGTAAGAATGTGAACTACACCTACAGGTTCCCTTCTGGCTTAATGTTACCAGAGGTGGAGAGTTGATCTTATAGTCAGTTGCAAATGTGTGGTCAGCATTTTACCTAGTTTTCATTTATACATTATGGCTATCCAGTTTTCCCAGCACCTTAATTTAATTACTGTACCCTATTACATCATTTCCTCAATGCCTGTGAGTTTTAAGTTATTTGAATTGCGTTCTGCATTTAGTTTGAGAATTAGATAGCTGTTTTATTTGGTAGCTGTATTGTGCACTTATTACATTTGTTTTTATGATATCCATGGGTTCCTGTTCTTCCGTTCATACAGTACAAATATTTCCTATTCTTCTGATGCCATTAGCACAAGTGAATATTTTAATTACCTCAATTAGCCTTTTGTAGATTCATAGTTTCGAAGTCTTGTGTAACCAATTATGAGGACTATTCTATCATTTGTTTGGTATTTGCCTACCATTGGGGGTTGATGTTTCTGCTTCATACTTCAGGGTCTTTACGGCTGGCTATTCCATCATACGAGGAGTCAATAATTAATTTTTCTATATCTGTTGAATGACAAATGGAATGATGGCTATTTCATTATAGGATTTGACGATTATAGCTCCATCTTGTACATTGTCACTGGTTGAGTTTTTGAGTCATCGGTCATTAATTTATACAAATGTGGAATTGGGATTTGTCTGGCCATGACCCATGAGACGCATATCATGTTATCTTAGACTGGCTAATGGTTTGTCACCTCATTCTGTGTTGATGCACTCCTTTTACATTTCGCTGTTTCTTCTTGAGTGAGTTATCTAGTGGCTCGTATCGTATTTAGGCATCTTTCAGTACTCCTTAGTTAAATATATACTTGACCTAGTTAATCGTTTATTCTTCTTGATGGGTGCAGTTATTTTTAGGGAATGTGAGGTTCCTGTGATATTGAGGTTATTTTCACTTTTAATTTTCGTTATAGATTTTTTGAATTCAAGGTTCTGGTTTGAATCTGGACACGAAGACTATATGGTCCATATTATCTGTTCCCGTACACTCTGCCCGATTTCGTGTCATGAGTATGTTAGCATTTTATCGGAGTGATTGCGTCTCTTACACAATTTACTTCACGCTTTTTATAATTTTGACGTTGAGATATGTCTATTTAGTTTTTATTGTGTCGAAAGTTAGTCATGCTGATTGTGTTTTTATTCATATTCCATTATTGGGTTGCAGATATACGTATATAGATGATTTACATATTGTCAGTCTTCCAGACTCACACCTCTAGAGGCTATCTGATCCTTTTACTTTCTGATTTGTATTTAAAGTTATCATTGTTTGGTTGCAAGTATGTATTCTATTGTCTTTAATTATTTATTTTGATTTTGCACTATTAAAGTCTATTTGCAGTCTATCTTCTCAGGTTAAGT